GCGTGGGTGAAGAAGTACAGGTTGAAGATTAAATCCATATGGGATATCTCAGATCAGTCAGTTGAGACATGGATTTGGAGAAAGATTTTGAAGAGCATAACTGGGGTAAGATCACATGTCTCTGGCAGTGGTAACCTACTTTCCTGGGATGGAAAGGTAATACCTAAGTATTATGTTAAACTTGTTTGGAATACCATAAGGAATCCTAACCCTCTTGTTGATTGGCATAAGGCTGTTTGGAAACTGTTTAGTCCTAAACACAGTTTGTTATTATGGCTAGTAGTACGGAATCATATTGTCACAAAGGATAAACTTTTAAACTAGGGGTTGGCTGGGGAATGCACTTGTGTTCTTTGTCCATGTGGAGAATAATCTCAAGATCACCTATTTTATGGATGCCATTACCGCAGCTATGTCTTGTCTAAAGTACTGAGCAGATTTTGTAGGCTTACTATTTTCACTACATGGTCAGAGCATTTGAGCTGGCAGTGAGACCGTAGTCCAGTGGTAAAGTGTTAGCAGGTTAAGATGGTTTTTTTGCATTAGTTATGTGTGGCGTGACCGTTTCTGCAGAACTCATGATGCTGTCATATGTCCCCCAAGTAAGCTGGTTGGAAGGATCGAGGAGGAAGTGAAGTGGATAATGGAAGCCAAACCCTGAAGCTGGAATGAAGCAGAGATAGATTTTACTTTGCATACTTTAGTAGATAGTTACATTGAGTAGTTATCGATATGGTTATAAAATGTTTGTACTTGGAGGAGGAGTTTGCAGTTTGCAACTCCCGGGCTCAATGAAACTTTTGATTAACCGTGAAAAAAAATTGTTGCACTCCCATTTTTTCCCTCCTAAATTTTCACTACCGAAAAATGTGGCTCCAAATTCTAAAATTTTGCCAAATCATAAAATGTTTGGCAAGAACTCTTGATCTCCTCCTTCTTGTGGAACTCTTAAAATCAAATCCTTTCCTTAACCGAAAAGATTTACCAGCTCCACCTCCTAGCTCTATAAATAGAGACTAGTGTCAACCTTCATTCTTCACCATTTACCCATATCACCCGATTCCAAAAAAAACACCACTCTTCTAACTCTTGTTGCAACGTCTCCCAACTATTTCCAGGTAAGAGTCCTTTTCTTCAATTTTATGGCCGCCATTTCATTTATATTGCTACAAATGTATATATATTTATTTAATTTTTATTTTGAATGGCCTCCCTACATATATGTGCGTATTTATTTCCTTTAGTTCTTTTTTTTTAGTCGGCCACCATTACATACATATATATCACTATAAAAGAAAATTCATTTTCTTTTGCAAACGTACATACCCTTTTCCCCCTATATATATGGCCATTCATATGTATATATTTATATTATTATTTTTTGTTGGCCTTATTTTTACATGTCCCCTCTAAACACCATACCCTCATAGTCACAGTACCACCCCCCATGTCATTATACCCCTCTAACCCCGAGCTTGTGATGTTGTAGGATGGCTAACTCCGAGTCAAACAAGGAAGAGATACAAAATTCAATTCGCAACTACTAGAAGGAGTATGTGATGTTATATAAGAAAGAGGGGTTGAAGATGGAATTTTAGAAGTGAAAGAAGATGGGATAGGTTGGCTTGGCCCCTACCTCACTGATGAGAATGCCCTCTCTGCTGCTACACTTGACCGATATCCACTTGGGGGTAGCTTCCCTCTCTACCTCGAAGAAATACCGCCCACTACGTTCTTTAGCCCCACCAAAAGCAAAAAACCAGTGTCCTCGTGGCCACAAAGTGACCGAGTCTTCATCAAGTGGTATAAGAGGTTGAAGGCTGACAAAACCACTAAGTCACAATGGATGACATCTGGAATTACCCATATATTGGCTCTTTGTGCTGTGATTCCAAACGTTAGTCTATTCAAAGCTGCTTTGTGTATTTGGTCTGTAGGCTCCAACTGCTTCATTTTCCCCCAAGTGCAATGACTATCGCCCTAATGGATCTGGCTGGCCTCACTAGTTTGTCTTTATGGGCCAAAGCACCAACAAAACCCACTCCTCTTGATGGGCAAACCCCTATTTTGCCATAATCTTTCACGAATTTGTAGTACCAATACCTCCATGCTAACGTAAGGGGTTCCGTCACACAGAAGGAGAAGGTGGCCTTCATCCACTACTAGCTCTACAAGTTCATTATTTTCTCAACTCAACAAGGTCCACACAAGTCCCTATCCCATATCTCGTACCAACTTTCTGATGGGATTCCTCGTGACAATTTTCTTGAAACCATCTTGGCATATCCCTGACATGGCATGCACACCCTCATTCATCAAGTAAAAAAAGGTGGCACTTCTACTTATAGCGGTCTCATATGGTTAGTTCTTCTCTGGATTTATTCTTACTTTCCAACAACACGGGGTGACCTCCCCCTCTTAGACCAAATGAACTCCAAGTTAGATTCTTATGGCTTGTATTATGTGAAGGCTCCCTCTTTTATGCATAGTTTTGACAACTACTTTGCTCAATTCTTCAACCTAAAAAGGGTCAACAACTTTTCTCCCTTTGCAAGTTGGACTATGGGTCCTTCCTCTTTCTCCATGACTTTCACTGCATTCCCTGCTAAAGGAGAGCATAAGAGGAACTACGAGAGATTTTCTAGTCAATGAGTCAACCGAGTGGTAGCATAGTACCTCCTTCTCAGCCCAACAAATGGAAAGAATGCAACTTCTGTGGAGGCATACAACCCTCACTATGTTGCAAGACAATTTGGCTTGATTCAAGGGTGGCCTTTGTCGAACTCATTCTCATGCCTACTTAAAGCCCCCGGCGAGAGAAATCCCTTACAAGACAAGAAGGTGAAGAAACTTGAGGCATGGTATCAATGTAGTTAAAATCGCATATTAAAACTTAAAAACTTACTGTTTTACGCTTCTAGGTCACCAAAACGCTTTCGTTTCCACATAAAAACTTTAGTTTGCAAAATCGGACAAAATTGCGTCTTAAAGCTTAAAAGCTTAAGCTTTTACGCTTCTAATTCTCATAAGACCGTGAACTTCAACCGCAAACCGTGAATACCGAAGCGTCCAGCGAGTTTCCTGAAGTTACTGATGACAAGGCGGTTCACGGTCTATAAGACCGTGAACTGTGGCCATTGACCGTGAACCCATGACAGTAAAGCAGTGCGTTTTGGATGACGCTGAGTTCACGGACGCGTTTAGGTGTTCACGGTCGTGAACTGGCCACCGCGTTCGTGAACTTGTCACTTTCGGGCAAATATGAAGACAGCAGCTGGGAGAGAGAAAGGAGAGCTGGTTTTTGGAGAAGAATTGGTTTCTTTCTCTAGTGTTTGCCCAAAAACACCAAAGGGGAGTTCTAGTGAGAGAGAGAGAGAGAGAGAGAGAGAGAGAGAGAGAGTGCTAGAGTGATCTTGGAGCATCATTGGATGCTTGGGTGGAGATTCAAGCCTAGAAGAAGAAGAAGATCTTGAGCTCAAACTTGTAATCCCTCTCTCTCTCTCTCTATATATAACTAATACTTTGTAATTACTTGTATAGATTGAATAATTGTTTATGGGTATTGTTTAATTCAATGATTGAGGTATTATTCATGTTGATTGTGCATGCTTGTGCTTAGCAACCTAAGGATTGTGCATGTTTTGTGCTTAGCATCCTTAGGTTTGTGCATGTTGGTGCTTTGCAATCTAATTAGCCACTTTAACCTAGCTTAGAGAGGACAATCCCCCTTCCAAGGGAGACTCAATCGAGTTGGTTTTCATTTAGCTTTTTAAGCCACCTAACTAGGTTAATTTAGGGCAAACCTCAATGTTGAATTAAGAAAATTGGTTAAGCTCGATTAAATTGTCCGACTCTTGAATTGAGTGGGGGAGTAAGTCAACCACCAATTGACTAAACCGAGAGGTCCGAGTGACACGGCCTATAATGTTTACCTCGGTTTAGAAATCGAGATTGTGGTCTACGACCATATTTGCATCCCTCTGTGGTTCCCGGTTACCAGTTTGCATCTAGGTTGGCTGTGATTAAGCCGCTCAAACTCCAGTTTGAGGGAGAGACCTAGGCAACCACTAGAGCCTGAGTGAGAGGATCGATCCCGTGACAAATCGATCTCTAGTGAATCCATACCGTGAAAATGGATCACTAGTTGCTTCTCTTCGCGGTTCCCCTAGACTTGGTGAGTGGATCTATCCCGTGACAAATCGATCGCTAGTGAATTGATTTCGTGACAGATGGATCACTAGTTGCTCACCCCCGCAGTTCACAACCACCTATGCCACATGACTTCATTCAATCCAACGAGTCATGGTAGCTAGTTAGGGGGAAGCAACTCCTGGGTGAAGCTCTCTTAGTTAGGATTTTCCTTCATTTACTTTTCCTTGCTTGTTTAGGTTGTAGTTCCATTAGACCTAAACCCCAAAACTGTTTTGTTAGATAACAACTTAAGCGATTGAAGTAGGGGTACATGGACCGACCCGGGTTGACAATTTAAATACTTGCTCTATACTGTACCCGGCTAGAGTTTAAAAACTTGGACTCTAGTCGGGATTAATTTGTGGTTTAGTCCTGTGCGAGTCAGGTATTATACTTCATTTACAAGCTAAAGTTACGTTTAATAGTACGTTAATAGTCATAAAATATAAAATTAACTATTTTAAAAATAAATAAATATATAAATAATAGTAAAGTTAACAATTTAATTCAAAAAAATACGGATAATAAACGTGTTATATGGGTTTTATACGTGTTTAGTACGGGAGCCATCAAATGAACGGATAAAAATGAAACGGCTTGACAATAATACGGATACGGAAGTTTTAAATGGATAAAATACGTACGGTTACATATACGTGTATTAAACGGAGTATTTACTTATGGTGGATGGTAGCCACCGTGGCATGGTTCGGATTTAATTTTTGTGTGGATAATCCGTGAGACACCTAGGACCATGCCTCGGTGGGCTTGTGCTTAATTGTTATAAATAGCATGGGCCCGTAGTGGAAATACAAGTGTGGAGGGAATTTCTTTTTCCTCCCAATGAGTTGAGATTGACAATTATTTACACGTATGGTGCATGTTTGTCGGTTTTGTAGGATGGTCGATATGAACCACCCGTACCTTTCGGTGCTTAGCGGGAAACCCGCAATTGAAAATGAGCTGAGATTTTGGGTAAGCGCTCACTCCAAAGACCACTGGAAACTCGACTTCACACAGTTCGATGGTCTTCATTGCGGAGTATATCATGAGGGAGGCTATGGCGCACCCACAATGGCGCCAGCTCCTTGAATTGGATGATGACAATTATGGGGAGTTGTGTGTCGATTTTTTCAGGACCTTCACCATCTCTAAGACCATGAGCGCGTTCGGAAACCGGTTGCGCACGATGAAATTCCATTTGGGCGGAGAATGCCGCACCCTGACTTTCAACGGGGTAGCCCGAGCCATGGAGTTGGATACTCATCTGGACTCTGAGTGGGAAGGGATGCCATAAGAGGGTGCAACATTTCGAAGATTTTTCCTCCTGGAGCACCAACGAACACCATTTCGATCGGCACTCACGTTGGCATCCACACTCAAGCCATAGTGGCGCATCACAATCCAAACAAGATAACCGAGAGGATCCTGCTGGCGTTTGCTTGCATGGTGGAACCGTCTAGCAATCTTCATCTTGGTTCAGTCTTGGCCATCTCTTTTGCCAGAGCAATAGGGGGAAATCGACAATATGTCACATCAATGGGGCCCTACATCACCCATCTTGCTCGTCACTTTAACGTTAACTTTGTGGGCTGCACCAAGGAGGGGCACACCAAGGGGTTTGAAGAAGGAACTTTGATTTCCATACATTTATTGTGAACATTTGGCCCATTCCAGTAAATTGAGGGAATGACTCTTCCACCAGGGGTCCCTCCTCCAGAGTAGCCACCTGCTAGAGCTCCCGGCCACCGCCACCGTCCCGCGCTCTAGCGCCCTGCACCACCACCAGTAGCAGCATAATCACAGGTGTCGGTCCTTCCACCTCCGGGGTGCACCTCGTGGAGAGGATGGACCACCTTGAGACCCACTTAGTGGGAGTCACTTCCCTGCTCGACCGACACACCGAACTGCTAGAGCGGATCGCTCATCGCCAGGGCCTCCTTCCAGATGATGAGCCAGGTCTTTGACCCAGCGAGAGGTAGCCGACGGGTGAGACATGTGATAGAGATGATTCTTTTCGCCCCACTTCTCCACTTGGAACTCTAAACTCTTTTATTTTATGTTTCTTTATTTTATTTGGTATGTGTGAACAACTACAACTATCGTATTGTTATGTGTAATAACCTCACCTCGAGTGAGTACGTGTTGTGTTTGTGTGTGTATTTTTTGTCTTCTCCTTGAAGCTCAAATCTCCTACCCTGAAAAATTCCAACTTTCACTCACCAAGCAATGCGGTAACATCGTTCTACCCCTATCTTACGCCATTGAGGGCAATGTCGAACTTAAGTGTGGGGGTAGTTTATTATTATGCTTGTGTGAGTGTGATTGATGCTTGGAGCCTTGATGTATGCCCAAATTTGAAAATTTTGAGGGATCCAAGCAATGGTTGCATGATCAAAGTGGCCGGTTTGTAGGAGAATCTCGTGTTTATTGGCATTGACCTTTAATTGTTGCATGTGATCCAGTGTGTCCTTTGATGATGACTGAGAGGTGCATTAGGATAGTGCAAAGGTTTAGTTCTCATGAGTGCAAAAATGAATGGATGTCTTGACTCGATTACTTGTTGATTACAATATGATTGCCATGCATTGTGTTTTGTGAATTGGAACAGATGATTAGGTGACTAGGTAGCCATGTGAGTTTTGGGCCGATCGTTTTCTTCTTGTGTGCTTAGATCCCTCTTACCATGGTGAGTAACTTAACAGTTGTCACTAGTGAGTATGATGGAGGCATAGGATTAGTACACGCCCAAATGTTGATTGTCCCAAAATGCTTTATCTCCTAGTCAACCCCTTTGAGCCTTGTGACTTTGGGGGTCGTTCTCTTATAGGAGCTTTTTGCCTGTAAGCTTAATGGTGTTTGATAGAACGACCCCCCATCCTTTATTCATGTCTATATGTGAGTCGTCCTTGTGTCTCGGAGCTCTTGCTTTTGAGTTCCATTAAGGTTCTACATAGGAGGATTGTGTACGGTTCTTGCTAGGAATGAAAGAGAAAAGAGTAGTGTTGGAGTAAGTTCTTAAAAGAGAACATTGGTTGTTAAAGGTAACGTGGCAAGTGTTTTACTCTCTAGTACCCCCCCCCCTGCTCAAAAAGAAAAGAAAAGAGAAAAAAAAAGAAAGAAAAGGAAAGTAGAAAGAAAAATAATAGAAAAAGAGGTAATAAAACGGGGTAAATAAAGTAGAGAGTGCCACAAAAATATCAAAGAGTGTGATCTAGGAGGTGTTTCTTGCCATTGAAGCCATTGAAACCCCCACAATGTTGTTGAACTCCTTCACTACCATGTAAAAATGTGATAGCAAGAGTGGACCAAAAGTTCCCGACACCACTGGTCAAGAGGGTGAGTGATTCATTCTTGTTTTGCATGTCATATCATACCCTAGTGATTACCTTTGTTGCCCATTCGTTTGTTCATTGGACTTGAATGTTATGCATGTTTGGTTGTGGTTGATAAGTGATCTTGTTGAGACTTGCATTGATTCATGAACAAGGTGAGAACTTTTCGTTTGCCCATTTTTGGTGACCTCGAATGTCGTTTATGGTGGATGCCGGTATTGCTTGCAATGGTCCAAGTGTTAATTTCGAATAGCCATTGAGATTCGCAACTTTGTGCCCTTTGATTTGTCCCCAACGAATTTCGTTAGGTTGAGATATTACCTTGTGTGAAATAGTTTGCTTGGGGACAAGAAAACATCTAAGTGTGGGGGAGTGATTCAGGCCTAATTGTACACTTTTTATCCCCGTTTCTCTTTAACGTTTGTGGCAATTGAGCTTCAAAATGGGTGGTTTTACACTAGGTTTCTTGATTTTCAATGTGTTTAAGAGTCTAACAGGTGAAACCAACCCCGGAGTCGAAATTTGGAAGAAAAGGAGCAAAGAGCGGGCAAAGAGGAGTTTTCAGCCGCAGTTCACGGTCAAAGCTTTGATTTCACGGTCGCCTGGATCGTGATGTGGAACCACAAACCGTGAACTATGAAGCGTCCAGAGGGTTTTAAAAGGTTACTGACACCAAGGCTGTTCACGGTCGCTAAGACCGTGAACTTGAGCCATGGACCGTGAACCCCATAAGTGAAGCCACGCATTTTGATCAAAGTTCACAGAGTTCACGGACATGACCTGATGTTCATGGCCGTGAACTGGGCACGATCTGAGTATAAATAGAGAGCTGAAAGGAAGAAGAGGGAGAGCCCAAAGTGAGAGAAACCTTCTTCTTCTTGAAACTCTAGAGAGAGAAAGTACGAACCAAGAGGGAGAAGAGGCTAGGGTTTACTCCACGTGAAGATTTTGGAAGTTCCTCTTCAAGAGAAGATCTCTAGAAGCACAAGGAGAGTTGGAGGCATCACAATGATGGTTTATTTCTTCATCCTTTGTGTTCTTCCTTTGTCTAGCATGGATTAGTTTCTCTTTTCACTTGGGTGTGGTAGAACCCTAACTACTATCATGTATTAATTGTGTGGATTGAATGATTGTGTGATGGTGGTGTTCAATTTAAGAATTGAGGTATTTTTCATGGTGATTGTGCATTGTGTGTGCTTGGCAATCTATTGTTCTATTCTAACCTAGATTAGAGAGAAGCCTCCTTATCTTAAGAGGCTCAAAATTGAGCTGGGTTTTCTTAGGCATTCTTTGCCTCCTAACTAGGTTAATGAAGGGCAAACATATACTTGAATTAGACACCTAGGTTAATTGTGATTATGACATCCAAACTTTGGTTTGAGGAAGAAGGTAAGTCAACCCTCAATTGCTTGAGCCAAGAGGGCAACAATTGTAGCCTCTAATGCTTACCTTGGCCTAGCAATTGGGAGGATGGTTTCTAACCATTGTTGCACCTCCTACGGGTCACAATTGCCTTGTCACACACAGAGTCATTCGATCCCAACTTTCATGGTAGTTAGTTAGGGGGAAGCAACACCCGAGTGAAGCTTCTCACCAAGAGTTTTCCACCCTTTTACTTTTAAAGTCTTGCTTTCAAATAGTAGATTGTAGAGATTTCAAAAAACAACATTCCACTAGATATTGTTTCAAACAAAAGTAGGGGTACATGGGTTGGCCCGAGTTGATAGTTAAACATACTTGCCCTATATCGCACCCATCTAAGGTTTATACTTGGGTCTTAGGTGGGATTTTATTGTGATAGTCGGAGCGAGTCAACATGCAATGCATTCTGCTTTTACCATGGATTCCCCTTGTACCAACAACCAAGCTAAGTATGAAGCTCTAGTGGTTGGGTTGGAGATGCTAGTTGACTTGGGGGCTAGGAGTGTCAACATTAGGGGGGACTCACAACTGGTGGTATACCAAGTACTTGGTGAGTTTCCATGTATCAATTGTGTGTTGGAAACTTACTTGGACGATTTTCAAATCTTGCTCTCTCATTTTGATAACGTATCCATCAAGTATATTCCTCTCCAAGATAATGGCAAGGAAAATTACTTAGCTCAATTGGAATCATGCTTTAGAGAGTTTGCACATGAGGGAGGAGAGAAAATTTTCTTGAGAACAGTTAACCCATTGCATGAGCGATTGAAGCAAGGGGTAGAAGTTTTCATAATAGACAGAGGGTGCCACTAATTGGCGTATCCACTATATATCTTATTTAAATAACCCAAGTGGGGAGTTTGATCTATCCATCAGTTCAAAGCAATGAATTATGTCTTGATAGATGAAATCTTGTTCAAGAGAAGGCCTGGTGGTTTGTTGTTGAAGTGTTTGGGGAGTGAAGAAGCCTTGAAGGCCATGGGGAAAGTCAATAAGGGAGTATGTGGTGCTCACCAAGCTGGTCCATCTATGAGATGGGTTCTCCATCGATATGGACATATGGTTACTATTGGTCGTCCATTTGGGGAGGATTGTGTGGCTTTTACCAAAGGGTGTGAGGCACCACATACTCCCTCATTGACTTCAAGTCAATAAGCCTCGGCCTTTCTTTGGATGGACCATGGATTTGAATGGAAAGATATATCCCCCGTCTTATGATAAGCATACCTTTGTTGTTTTAGCTACCGACTTATTCACTAAGTGGATAGAAGCTATACCGATGAAGGTAGTAAATCGAGGGGAGATTATCAAATTTATCGAGTAAAATAACATTCATCGTTTTGGATTACCAGCCACCATAACTGCTGATCATGGTATCGTGTTCACTGGAGGGCAGGTGATGGCTTTTGCCAAGGAGTATGGCATCAAGATCATACACTCCACACCATACTATACCCAAGCCAATGGTCAAGCAGTGGCTTCTAACAAAGTGGTGAAGGGTATTCTATCTAGAATGATAGAAGATAACCAAAGGAAGTGGCATGAGATCTTATCTAAAGCTTTATGGGCTTATCGTTTGTCACCTCATAGTAGTACAAAGGTGACCCCTTTTACATTAACTTATGACCATGAGCATTCTTGCTGACTGAGGTGACTGTAAAATCATTAAGATACATGCACCAACATGAGCTAGCACCATATGAGTATTATGAGTCCATGATGTTGGAATTGTGTGATCTTGATGAACTCCAGCTCAAAGATCTCGATAATATGCAGGTACAAAAAGACAAGTTGGCTAGTGCTTACAATAAGAGAGTCAAACACAAGTCATTTGAGGAAGGAGAGTTGGTATGGAAGCTTCATTTGCCCATTGGAGATAAGGATCCCAAGTTTTTTTTTTATTAACCACTTCAGACAATTGACTTAAAAGTTTATCTACTTGAGAATTAAGACATTCCATTTGAGAGTTTACCTGGTGAGAAGCAACTCTAGCCTCCTCCATCATATGACGGTTCTCCATCATCATTTGACGGTTCTCCTCTGTAGCTCGATGGTTCTCTGCCACCAGCTTGCGGTTCTCCTCCATCAACTAACGAAGGACGCCCACTGCTTTACCAATATCTCTAGTAGGTGTTGCCGTTGGTAGGATCTCCTCCATCAATGTTGGCCACCTGCTCCTCCACAAAACTAGCCAGAGCTTTACCTTCTTTATTCCTCCTCCTCGGAGCCATCAAATCAACCACAGTGTCCCACTAGGTGTGCCAATTTATTTTCCCGGCGAGAAAAACTAGATGGAACAGAATTGAATTTTGAACCTTCAACATCTTTCAAATGATTGAACAACACGGTTCGCACCTCTTTGAACAAATTCAAACAAGGGTGTTCAATATTTTTTATAACAACGAGACATATCTACATTAAATTAGCCCTACTCCTATGGAGGTTCAGTGAGAGCTCCAGAACTACAATTACGGCTAAGTTTGCAGAGGAAAAGATAAAAGGATAAATTTGACATTGGGTTGTCTTATGTGAATTTCGCTGTTGTGGGACAATCCAAGTACCACATCGGAAATACAAGGGAAGAAACCCTTGTATATTAGAGTCCACCTAGCCCAATTAGTACGAGGCCTTTTGGGGAGGATACTCATAAGTAAAACCGTGCAGGCTTGGCCCAAAGCGGACAATATCGTTCTAATTGAGCACCCTGGTTTAACAAGTGGTATCAGAGACGCGACTGGAAATCAGGCTAGGGTTTTGATTCTGAAGAATGATGTCGGTGAACATGAAGATCGAGAA